GCATCTTTGCTTTAGGAATTTTCATTTTGCCCTTATCTCCAATCTCCACATCCAAGCTGGGTGTATCTACCTCCACTTCTGGCAGCTTAAGATCAGCTTCCAGCTGCGCAGACGGCAATGTTATTTCCGTTTTCAATTCTGTCTTCGGTAAGTCTGTTTCCACAGAAGCGACAACGATTTCTGTCTCTTGGACACCTTTCCCTTTGGGCAGCGAAATTCCAAATTTGGGCATATGAAACTTGGGCATTTGGAATTTCCTATCCCCGCTTTCCAGCTTGACATCGGAGCCTTGTACAGAAACCTTTCCAGATGGAGGCTCTATGGCTACGTCGGGAGCTTTCAGTTCCAGACTGGCCAAGCCTATAGGAATCTTTACTTCAGGAGATGATATGATAATGTCTCCTTCCTTCACCTCAGGTTTCTGAATCTGGAGCTCAGGTTCGGGAAGAGAAACGTCCACTTTAGGCATACTGACATCCATACCAACTTTGGGGCTCTTGATGTCTGGTTTGGAGAATCCCATGCTGGGCATCTTGAACTTTGGCATGTGTATCTTCAGTCCTCCCCTGTCGATGGTGCCTTCAGACTCTGGCAATTTTACAGCCTCTGCACCATCAGACACTTCAGCTTTTACTTTGGGAAGGGCAACATCAGCCTCAACCTTTGGCAGGGAGATCCCTAGTTCTGGCCCTTTGACCTTGGGGACCTTGACGCTAGGCATCTTTGCTTTAGGAGTTTTGATTTTGGCCTTATCTCCAATCTCTATGTCCAAGCTAGGTGCATCTACCTCCACTTCTGGCACCTTAACATCAGCTTCAAACTGTGCAGAGGGCATTGTTATTTCCATTTTTAATTCTTTCTTAGGCAAGTGTGCTTCCACAGAAGGGACGTCGGTTTCTGCCTCTGAGACACCTTTCCCTTTGGGCAGCGAAATTCCAAATTTGGGCATATGGAACTTGGGCATTTGGAACTTCCTATCTCCGCTTTCCACCTTGACATCGGGGCCCTGCACAGAAACCTTTCCAGATGGAGGCTCTATGGCTACGTCGGGAGCTTTTAGTTCTAGGCTGGGAGAGTCTGTTTGAATCTTTACTTCAGATGATGATATGGTAATGTCTCCTCCCTTAACTTCAGGTTTCTCAACCCGGATCTCAGCTTCGGGAAGAGAAATGTCCACTTTAGGCATACAGACATCCACATCGACTTTGGGGCCCTTGATGTCTGGTTTGGAGAATCCCATGCTGGGCATCTTGAACT